TTTCTGGTGATTATTAGCTGAAATTCTATCTGGAATTCACACAATATTTCATGGTGCATTCGGCAGTATGCCATCATAGTGGCAATGGTAATAAATGATTTTTGAAACACATTCTTCCATTTCCTTTTTATGTCTACTTCTGAAATCACAGTAAAACTTAAATTAAAAATAAACTGAAATTCTTCCAAAGATTTCCATCTTTTTTTCTCCATATGGAACAATTTTCCCTTATGTTCTTATCTATATTTTACCAGCAGATCTCTTCACGCAGAGATCATGCTAAGAAATTGTCCAATATGCATTTTGCTGTTTCTGCTGAAACAAACACTCAGAGAGAATGCTATTAAAATTCTCCTGTTCCCTAGATAAAGAAGAGGAAAAGGAAAAGCCCTTGTTTTACAGAATCTTTGGAAACCATTTGAATTTTGAGTAACAATTTAATGGACATTAGCGGGAGTAATTAGGAAAAAAAAAAAAAAAAAAAAAAACACAACCAAAAACATTTGTCATTTGGAACTATCTAGGTTGCAAATATACTGTTTACTTTCCTACTCGGATTATATTTTCCACATTCAAAACATTAAAGTTCTCTGAGGGTTTCTTTTTGATCCATATCTAACATCTTTATTTCCAAAGTCAACCATTCAGTTATGTTGATTGGGTAACTTAGTAAACTATTCTACAAAAGGAAAACAAGAGCTACATTTTCAGTATTTTTATTTCCCACTCCCATATGCAAATTAGGATTGCTGATCCTTTGCATCAGAGGAGTAAAATGTTCATATAATATAGAGAAATTTATTTGTAAATTCACTTTTGCACGCTCTGTCATCAGAATTCATAAGGCGGGGATCATCTTTTAAAAGCACAGCCAAAAATTTGGAGTTTCAAATTTCTGTATTAACTCACGTTCTGTTATTAAATCTACTTCCAGCTCAATAAAAAACAAAATCAAATGGCATTTCCCACTGTTCAGTTCCCCTTCTTAAAAGGAAGCATCCCACAAAGAACCTGGAAAAGCTCTTTCGTTCCTCTGTGACAGGTATCAGTCACAACAATTGCCATACTGCAAGAAATTTAATTAATATGTAAAATAGGATCAGACTATTCGATCTTTCAGTACTTATCAATAGTTCTGAATCAAAATGTGACAGTCTAATGCATGGCCAGTCACCTGGTATGAGATGGGTAGATAAGATTATTGAGAAATGACCACAGAATGCTGCTTTCTGTAATATTGATTTCTGTAACATGACTGTAATGTCTGTGAAGCTTTAGCAATGAGATAAGACATACATATGTAGTTCACTTCAAAAGTAATGCCTCCTATTTATTTATTTCCGTGGAAACTACAACCAATACGAAGAGCACAATAATGCTATTTGAAGAAAATCTCAACTACAGATCACTGCTTTTCAACATAGTCACCACCATGAGCTATGCATTTTCATCATCCACGAACAAGAGCCTGCATGCTAGTCTTGTAAAAATCTGCACCAGCAGAGCTGATTATTGGACTGTTGCCACTGCTGAAACAAACCACCCACCACCTCACTGTGCTTACCTGTATTGTTGGTCTCCATAAGTGTTCAGCAAGCAACCATTAGTTGGTAACAATCTAATAATTTTGCTTCCATAAAAGCCTTTGAAAATAAAAGGAGCACGAAAATTTAGAAAATATCAATTCAATTAAATCCCTAAGGTAAAAGTGAAAGACAGAAGACAGAAACATACAGCTCTTCACAGCTATTCTGTATTAAGTTGTTCTAGGAAGATTCCCCTCTGGTTCTGATGCTTGTCTAGCTCTCTGCAGTGCTGTCCTGAGGGGCTGACAGAATTAGGAGACTATAAGGAGCAAGGATCAGCTTCCTTTACCAAGTATCAGGGAACATTTTGGAGAAGATAGGTACAGTTAAATCCTTTAGAGGACATAACGCAGAACCATATTTTTCCTCTTGATCTTCTTCTCTCATCTTTGCTTTCTTTTCATACTGGCAAGGAACGTTATTTAAAGTCTTTATTTAAAGTACAGGTCTGGGAATCTGGATTTTTTCCTTCTTCCTGTGCAGCTATGAATAAGCATCTTAACCTCTACATTAGTTCTCACACCTAATAAAAGAAATTTACCTTTACATTTACGTACTTTGTAGAGAGTTTCTTCTGTCCTTCTGCCAATGATTCTTAACTGCTGAGAATTTTATTCCATTCATGTTTGTAAAGCATTTCAGGATGAAAGGCACAAGAGAAAAGCAATGTATGTAATTATGTGGTGGAATAATTTAATTAAAACATCCTGCAATGATTTAGTATAAATTACACTATGATCTACATTTAGGGTACTTGTATTCCTTTTACAGAGCAAGAGACAGGCTTTTCTAGAACTTAAGTCACACGAGGATCCTAACTTTAGTTGATGCTTCTTCCTTCAATAATTGTAGAGGGAACCCAGGCATTTTACCTCCTGCCTTTGTGAATGCCTTCCTTTTGTTATCTAATCCCTGATATTAATGAAGTCTGTGTTTTATTTTGGCATTACTTATCAACTCCTCAGAATGACAAGAAAAGCAAAGTGGTAAATGAAAGAGCAAATGGCGAGTTGAGAAATGCTTGTTCCTTTTATTCACAGGACTCCTCTAACGTTATAAGACACAAGGATTTTTCAGTTTTATCTGTAATATCTTGGGTAGTTATGATGAATTAAATAAAGAGCACAAACCATGCATTTGTGGTTTAGAAGACAGCTATCTTTCCACCATCCATTCTAGTGTTTTGGCTGTGGCCCTGTTCTAAGTGCCTTGATCAGATTAAACTTATCAGCTGGAGGCAACTACTTCATGTACTCAGTAAAGCCTCAATTTCCAAACCAGACCCAGACTCTGAACAGAACAAACTGTCCTAGAAATCATCCTAGATCTTGGAAGATATAGACTACTTACTACCAGTTCCAGTTTACTGCTGAAGCATCTCCCTTTATTGCTTTCCAGTGGATGTCTTCCATGCTTTACCCCCTGAATCATAGAATCATAGGGGCTGGAAGGCCGCTGTCAGATCACTGAGTCCAAAGTCCCCTGCTAATGCAGGTTCCCTACAGTAGGTTATACAGGAAACTCTCCAGGCAGATTTTGAGCATCTCCACAGGAGACTCAACAATCTCTCTGGGCAGCTTGTTCCAGTGCTCTGTCACCCTAAAAGTGAAGTTTTTTCTAATGTTCATATGGAACTTCCTGTATTACATTTTATGCCCATTGCCCTTTCTTCTGTCACTTGGCACCACTGGAAAGAGCTTGGCCCCATTCTCATCCCTTTAGATATCTATAAGCATTGATAAGATCCACTCAATCTTCTCCAGGTTGTGTGACCCTAGGTCTCTCATCCTTTCCTCATAAGGGAGATGCTCCAGGCCCCCAGTCATATTTGTGGTCTCCCACTGAACTCTTTCCTGTAGTTCCCTGATTTTCTTAAAGTGAGGGGCCCAGAACTGGGCACAGTACTCAAGATATGGCCTCATCAGGACAGAGTAGAGAGGGAAAGCCACTTCCCTCAACCTGCTGACCACGTTCTTTTTAATGCATCTCAAGATATCACTGGCCTTGTTGGCCATAAGGGCACTCTGCTAGCCCACAGTCAACCTGTTGTCTACCAGGACATTTAGGTCTTCTCAGCAGAGCTCCTTTCCAGCAGGTCAGCCCCTGACCTGTACTAACGCATGCAGTAAAAAAGGTCTATCTTTTTTCTCCCTTCATAGAATCACAGAATTGTAGGGGTTGGAAGGAACCTCTAGAGATCATCTAGTCCAACCACCCTGCCAAAGCATCACCATAACACAGTAAAGCGCCTGGTGGGTTTTGTTTATTATTGCTTCAAAAATCACAGCCATAGTTACGAAATAATGGGGGATTCAGGATTATACACATGCCTGTTCCACATGTACAGAACAAGTTGTCTAGAGGCAAGAAAATTCATTAACACTGTATACCTTATTCATTATGATCATCTAATTTAGAAGGTCTTTTCGTGGATAAATGCATCTGAGAAACAGATGAGAGATTACGCATTTGCTAACATATTCGTGCAGATGAACCTCACACAACAAGAAAACAGGGCCAACCTGCTGAAGCTAGGTTGCAGATTACCACTGACACGTTAGATTAGGAATCAGATTCCACTGATTACGACAGCATATACTTTGATTATGGTGGACATGCACATCTTTTACGCAAAGAATTTTCATATATAGAAAATGATTTCATGGTTCGGGAGCTTTTAAAATAATGCTGATTTAATTACAAAATGTTTATGATTAAACAGTAAGCATACAAATTCTTCCTCTTTGTTGTTACAAATTATTACTTTTTTAATAACAACCATCCCTGTTTCTCAACTTATCTCATCCTTAATACCAGTTATATTGTGATCTGTTGGTATATAATATCCTTTTTAGCTGTAAGGAGACAAACACACAGAATGTTGTGTCCGTAACACTACATATAATAATGACCTGTCTTTCCAGAAGCCTCCATTCACATTCTCTGGATCAACTTCAGTCCAGTTCCTGTTGTTTCTCTTACTGTAGAAATTATATTGTTTCCTTTACAGAAATAGCTAGAATTCTAACACTGGGGGGTGAAGAGACAAAGAAGGAACAGAAGACATCTGCGGGCAGGGAGAAGATCAGTGGCATATGCAACTAAATCAGGGCAAAATTTTGGTGTTCTCTTCATCCAGCCATACTCAGCATCCCACAACTGAAATTTTAAATGAAATTCCCACTCACAGTTTAAAAAAAAAAAAAAAAAAAAAAAAAAACCCAAAAGCAAGTATTGAATATGAATGTGGAAGAGAGGCAATTTGATGTTTGTAATTACCGAGGTAAACTCCACAACCTGCTGAATGTATGCAAACTGGACCCCGGATGGTGTATATAAATCTGACATGCAGAAAGTAAAAGCAGGTATTGAGACTTCTTTCTGGTAGAGCAAGTCATCACAGAGAATCCCTATCATGAGCAACACAGGGGCTTCACTGAAAGGTAAGATTTCTGCTATTCACTGTCTGATATCTTCTATGTTTCGGTTTTGATTGAATTAAGAAGCTGAAGGATAACAATTCTAGAAACTAAGTTTTTCCAGCCTCTTAGTTTTCCAATAGTGGTGAAGCTTGCCTCCACCTCAAATTTTAGTGTTCAGTCCTTGGAACTAGAAGGGAGCTTGATCCTCTCTTTATTCAGTCTTTGGTCTCCTGAGACTACCTTTGCACTAAGCAGTGTCACAGAAAATTGACTTGAAGGGTCTGATACGTGCACACAAAAGACTGGATTCTGACTGCTCCACTACTCACAAGACTGGTCAGAAGGCAATGACTTCAAGTCATCATCCACAGAGTCCAGAAGCAATTGAAGCAAATGATTTCGTAATCACTTTTAACTTTCTAAGCCAAGAAGACTTGAGTTTTCTTATTCATAGAATCATTCCCCAGAACACTGTTCTAACTGGAAGAGATTATTCATGGGGGAGGAGAATGTTTTATTTCAATATTGTGTAAATGGGCACACGTTTCTTGAACTGAGAGCTAGAAAGAAATCCATCATGTGATAACATTAGGGACAGTTCTGGTGCTTTATGGAGTCTATTTGAACTTTACCTTGATAGTGAATCTAGTGAACCAATGCGTGTAGCAGGCCAATTTTGAGAACCAAAACTCAGAGTGCAAAATAGTATTCTTTGAATAATTACATCCATTAACCAAATATTTGCTTGTAAAGTTTTCTATTGTTTTTCTCTGCATATTTTGTTTTGCTGAATAGAAAACTTGACTCTGTTAATATTAAAACTTTTAAGCAGATGAAGTTCTGTCTCTTAGGTAATGAGAAGGCCCTTGTATCAGTTTCAAAAGTTCAGGAGAAAAGTTGAATATTCCCTGTTTTCTTAGTAGTAGGTAATTTAGGGTTAAATTCTAAATAGCAAAGCAGCACAGATGCTGGAAGTCTTCTGAAAGAACTCCCAGGACAATCAAAACCTTTAAAAAGTGACCTAACCGCCTTCCCACAAAATTAATTTGAATTCCAAATGTTTGCAAAGAAGGAAAGGACCTGTGGGAGGAAGAGAGAAAACCAAAGCAAAAAAAAAAAAAAGACAAAACAGAGAGAGAGAAAGAGTAATCTACTTTCTAAAGAAGAAGTTTGATTTTTTTTCTTTCATTTATCATTAGACAATAAAGTGAAGCACAATAGGTAGAGATTTTGGAATACAGTGTGCTGTAACACAGGTTACCATGTCTCCTTAAACACTGTAGGTTCTGCTATACGGGTAGGATGATGGAGGGGAGAAAGAATAATCTAAGGACAGTGCTCTCATCTTTCGTTTATTTTCAAGAGTCAGCACATCGGGTACTCTGAGCCATGTGGCTGAGCAAAGCCAACATCCCTGCATGCTGATCATCTGCATCTGACAGCTATTTCCAAATGCGTGCTTGTGTCAATATGTTCCCATTTTGATTTGTTCCAAATCTGAACAGGTTTGTTGCTGGCGGTTCTTCTGGTGTCCAACATGCTTCTGACCAAGGAAGGAGTGACCTCCTTGCCAATCTGCTCCAGTGGATCTGGCAACTGCCAAGTTTCCCTTGGGGAACTTTTTGATCGGGCAGTTAGACTTTCACACTCCCTACACTTCCTCTCTTCAGAAATATTCAATGAATTTGTAAGTACTTTCTATTTTCCTGGGAGTGAGAACATGCAAAATCCAGTTCAGTATTTTTTGAGCACAAACATATTAATATATGAAACTTTTAAGTATGTAAACAAATATGACTGTGGCATAGACAGTGATCATAGAAACATAGAATGGCTTAGGTCAGAAGGGATCTTAAAGATAATCAGACTCTGACCCCACTGCTATGGGCAGGGCTGCCAACCACTAGATCAGGCTGCCCAGGGCCTCATCCAACCTGACCTTGAACACCTCCAGAGGTAAAACATAATATAGTCCTAAAGGTGACTTAGAGTGCTGGCCATTGCTAAGATCTCCAGCATTCTAGTAAAAGATACAATTTGCCTAGCATTCTTTATGTATGAAACAAGTTTGTGCTTCTTTAACTGTAAATACTTACCAGAAACTTCTGACCTTTACAGAATAAAAGTAGCGATAGGATCACAGAGTGATAGAATAGCTCAGGTTGGAAAAGACCTTGAAGATCATCGAGTCCAACCTGAACCTAACCATACTACCCTAACTCTAACAACCCTCTGCTAAATCCTGTCCCTGAGCACTACATCCAAACAGTTTTTAAACACATCCATGGATGGTGACTCAACCACCTCCATGGGGAACCTATTCCAGTGCTTAACAACTCTTTCTATAAAGCAGTTTTTCCTGATATCCAACCTAAACCTCCCCTGGTGCAACTTGAGGCCAAAAGCAATGGAACAGTAGGTTAGTATAGTGTTTGAATTGCAGCTCTTCTTATTTATATCAAGAATACCTCTCCTTGATGATCTGCAGGATGAACGCTATGCTCAAGGTCGGGGTTTCATTGCAAAAGCTGTTAATGGCTGCCACACTGCCTCCTTAACCACTCCTGAAGATAAGGAGCAAACTCAGCAGATTCATGTAAGTCCTACATCTAATGCCAATGACTGTGAGATGGAGTGTGGGAAAAAAAAGAGGGAGGAAAAAGATTAAAGAGGGGGCAGACAGAGACAGAGGGAAATCAGATCTTTTAGAATGAAATAAAGCCAGAAAGAGGAAAGCACCAAAAAGCCAAGACATCTGCAGATGCTAAGTTTCAGACTATACAGAATATACAAGACCAGTGACTCATTTTTCTGTATGTTGCTTTCAGACATTTCATCTTCTTTCCAATTACAATCTAACCTCATGGAGCAAAGCCAGTTATTGTGCTTATACAGTATTCAGAATGCTACAAGCTCTGAACGTTATTTTAAAACACCTTATAGACAACTACAACAAACATAAAAATACATTGGCTATATAGTGAATATTGTATGTAGGTAAAGGAAAATGGTTTACTGGAACTGAAGACAATGATATTACCTAGAAAATGCTAAATATATATTTTTGCAGTTAACAGAAGGCAAAAATGGTCACATCATCATTCAAAGACAAAGACCCCAGAGTAAAATACTGCAAACTACTTGCAAAGAGAAACCTGTACATACATCAATTTAATAATGACAAACTTAAAAATGAAGATAGTCTTGTTCAGCCTATGCTCACAGATAAAATTTGAAAATACCCTGGAGAAAAAAAAAGTAAGCACAGGTGTATGAATGTGAATTTGTCAGGGAGAAATTTTTATCAGTTTCACAGCAGTAATAGCCTTGCAGTGCCAGTATAACCATCTGGGTATATAAAAAGTCTGGTTGTGTTCAGATGCAGAGTATCTAGCAAAGAAGAAATGGTTGAACATTACCATAACCATAAGCTTTATGAATTTTCATTTGCCCACAAGAAAGAACAATTTTCAAAATCAGAGAGCTATTGCTAGAAGCACCATTGTTCAAAGGGGAAAGCAGATGAGTTATGCAGAAGTAATAAAAGCTATTTAGTGGTTAACAATAATTTCCATTCCATAGTAAACTTCAATAAATGAAAATCGTTGGATTATAAAATGTTCATTAAAATCAGATAAAATTTTTCACTTTTTTTTTCCAGGCTTTTTTTTTTTTTTTTTTGGCAGAGACATGAAATATAGTTCTGCCTACTAGTTTGTAAAGTGGAGAGGGTTTATAGGTATTTTCCATAAAATTACTGTAACTGTGCTAATATTGCACACAATAACAGCAATGACATACATCACAAATTGCACAGAGATATCTAAGATAGGGTGTAGGAAGCAATCAGTGGAGTAATTCCCAAATTTCTGCATTGGAGGACATTGCTTTAATTGCCTCCTAATGCTGCCAGCATATAGCCTTCCTATTTTAACTACCTTTTCTTAACATGGATGACCAGCACGAAGAGCTACTGAATTTGATACTGGGAGTGCTGCGTTCCTGGAATGATCCCCTGATCCATCTGGCCTCCGAAGTGCAAAGAATCAAAGAAGCTCCAGACACCATCCTCTGGAAGGCTGTAGAGATTGAAGAGCAAAACAAGAGGCTTCTAGAAGGAATGGAGAAAATAGTTGGGCGGGTAAGTATTAGGTCCTTACAGTCCTCCAGCCTATTGGTGCAAAGAAGCCATGTGCAGTGACTGGATCTCTCTACTTGGAAGAGGAAAGAAAACAGTAGATAAGAAGGGGGAAAAAAGGGAGATAAGATAGCTGAAAACTTCTCAGATTCAGCTATAACTTTTCCTGCCCTCTTGTGATTTCTAAAAAGAGAATATGATGTGACTGTACAGCATAACACAACATAACTCTCAGTCCAGCTTTAAGAGAAGGTGTGATCATCAGAACTGGAAACCTTCATTCCATCTTTGAGCATTTTTGATTTTCAAATTTGTGTAGGATGTGTCTGTGTTTTTTCGCATCCACATAGTTATGGGTATTTATAAGCTTATTTCTATTTGTCTGTATACATGTAGGTATTGTGTATGGTTTTTGGAAATGGATAGTATGTTTAGAACTGTTCTGGAAGTCTGGCCTATTGTGGTGGTACATAACAAAGTCCCACCAGTCTGGTTCAGTCTCCAGTCTCACCACACTGGTTCTTTGGAACTATGAGTCTGACTTGGCTCCCCCTGCGCTTGGAGACTTAGAAAACAAGCCTGTTGTTTGACAAAACCCAAACCCGAATACCCCTCGTTATCAGCGATTGATCAAAAAGCTTTCCTGAATAAAATCAACTCCAGCCTGTTTATTTTTAAAGAGGCCCTCTGTAGTCCCTATACATCATTCTGTCAGCGAGCTATATGTTAATAGGAAGTTCTCAGTTCACTAGCTTTTGCTTTAGAGCAGTTGAATAGCATTAAGAGCACCACCATCCCTGTATCTACCATCTTCTGCTGGGTTACACATTGTTTCTCTCTTTCATTTTGGTGTCTATTTACTGAGAAACCTTACCCCATTCAGGCCACAAATGCATTTATCAATGTAATCAAGTACATCTCTATCCCATATCCAGGTGTAAAAAGGTGGGGATCCAAGACAACAGTAGAAGACAAGTGCTGCTACGGTTATACTGTCACCACCTTCTCATTCACATTATTTACTGAAGAAGGAGGTAGAAGACAAGATTGGAAAATTCATTAGTGTCAAACCATGTTTTTGAGTGATTGCAGATCTATTTTTCTTTTTTATTTCCTTTTTTTTTTTTTTTTTCCATTTACTTAAACTAAGTGAAAGAAGCTTCACAGACATTCTGCTGTATGCATTCACAAAACATAGCTTGTGAAAAATAAGATTCACCAGTACCACTAAGCACAGATTTCCTTCTTTCTATGAAGGGTAGATTTCTGTGATGTGAGAAAATGAATTATTGCGTCTTTATAAAGAGGAGACTTAAACCAATCTTCACCTTGGATTCTAGCTCATTACACAAGTTCCTACACGTAGCTTTCTAGCATTAGAGGTCACTATATCAGTCACAGCTTTTATTGTCTTTCTGTTTTTTCTTTAGTGGTATACAAAAATGAGAGATTTGCCTGGTAGCACGTTCTACAAGGCTGCATGTATCTGAGAGACCACCTAAGAGACGCACTGAGGCAAAGCTGGAGACACAAAGAAGTTCTAAGAAAAGTGCTTACAATGACTTTAAGGTGGAGGAAGCCAAAAAGAGATGCCACTGATGAATCCATGCACAAAGGAAGGTTTGATTTATCTGCAAAGTCTAATTCCATTAGACGTTGCTAACAAATTAGATCTGAGAACTACTGACAGCTAAGCTTACAAATTTTAAGGAAATAAACTGAAATATCTGGTGGAAATTAATCAAAATCTGCTTGAGGATATAGAACACTATACAGAACAAAGGGAGCCATAACTGGAAACACTTTACAAGCTGCACACTATTAACTAGCGTTCCTCAAGGCCAATATTTCTTAATTCTCTGTTCTACACCCAGTCAGATTGATTATCATCTCTTACAGTACGATTATGTCTCTCTAGATTCATTCTGGAGATGCTGGAAATGAAGTTTTCTCTCAGTGGAACGGCCTTCCATCCCTGCAACTCGCTGATGAGGACTCCAGACTCTTTGCTTTTTACAACCTGCTGCATTGCCTCCGCAGAGATTCCCACAAAATCGACAACTATCTTAAAGTTTTGAAGTGCCGCCTAATCCACGATAACAATTGCTAAGTACCTCTGGGTACAGCCGCGTAACTCGCTGCAACCATTCATCATGGTGTTCTTGTTGCTTTGCCACTTTTCATTGCGAACTTTATGAAAAGCCACATTGCACAGCACCAGGATCATCAGTAACTTTCAGGAGTGCTTGTGTGAATTCTGCCTGCAATTATTAGTGCCATTTATCTTAGTGTTTAAAATGCTGTAAGTCACTTGTGTAACAAGAATAAACTTCTCTGCCTAATTTCCTCACTTAATAGCATGTCATTGATAAGTAGATACAAATAAAAATATAATTAAATTCAAAATCACATAACATCAAGAGGTATCCATGAACAAAAAAATAGCTGGGATGGCTTACAACTTTAGCAAAACCTTCTCCTTTTGGATCTCATCTCCAGCTACTGATAAATGACAGGATATCTTGCTTTCACTTCTCTCTGCATGTCTCTAAAAACAGGGAACAAAGGAGATAGGACATCAAAGCAAAATATTCACCCATCACATTAAATTACCCTAGACTAAAAGTATGGGCTGAAATGCAAGACATGCTGATACATGATTTCAATCAGGTACAAAAACTGTCTTGAGTAGGGGACAGAGACATAAGAAAACCTGGCTAACAGAGCCACTGATTCCATATGCAGTGTACAGAGCATGAAGACACATCTGGAATTTTAAGAACAGATCCATATTTCTCTATTGACTGTCTGGGGAAGAAGCATTTCCAAAGGAAATCTCATTACTTTAAGTGACTACCTGAGGGCAAAAGGAACCAATAGGTTTCAACTAGTAGGTCCCAGTAGGAAGTGCAAGGCATCCAGTCAGGATCTTACCCACCTACTCTCCACATTCCTCACAAGTGATGTGGTGGTTGCAGATGCCCAGAAAACTTTCTAGCTATAAACAGGCATTAGCTGAGCTAAGCTGTCTGCTGTCCTGAATCCAAAGCATCTCCGTTCATTTTGCACTTAGTCACACCCAGTTTTCAAAGTTTTCCTTTTGAAACAAAAGTAAAGCATCATAAAATAACAAAATTAGCACAGCCATAATAGTTATTTACCTCTATATAAATGTCTATATACACAAAATATACATAGCAGTAAATAGGTAATATGTAAATAATAAGTAAATGTAAGAGATTAGATAATACAAACCGCAGAAAAGGTTTGATTTCAACCATCCTCACAAGGGATAAAATGATATCTGCAATTAGAATCATATATATGTATATACATATGTTTATTATAGTCTTTTAGTCTGTTCAAGTTTTCAATTACTGATTTCTTCAGACTTTATCTGGATAAGTGTAAACCAATCCCATTTTTAACGTAGGCAAAATCATCTGCACAGCAAATTCCCTGTTAGACAGTCACTACAGACAACTTTCATAAATTCCAAAATACACAAAATTTGTGGCACACACAACAGCAGTTTAACAACGCACAGCTGTATGTCAACACAGTCGTGGAAGCAAATGGTAAAATTTGCCAAGCAAAATGCAAGTGCCCAGACTGGAATTTAATGTGATAATAATATTCAATTTTCTTTTAAAATGCCAATTGTTAAAAAAAAAGAAAAGAAAAAAAAAAAAAGCTTTTTAAAGGGACAAAAAAAGAAGGAAAAACTCCTTTATAATTATCACAAGTGCTTAGAATTACAGTGTGAGTTCTTATTCAAAAGAAAACATGAATAATGGGACAGCTCTGTATTGAGCTGGAGAAATGATTATGTCTCACTGAGTAAACTCCTACCTCAGAATCTCTTTGCAATTCAAAAGCAACTTGATTAATAGGGCAGACATTCATAATTTTACACTTATATGACTAGATCTAAAACAATTACTTTCATCAACTGCCTAAAAATTACAGTGCTAAAACAATTGTTTAAAACTTGCATGCACTGGTTTTATTCAAGCTTGTTCTGGTACAAATATGTGTTTTTAATTTCATAAAGAAGGATAGAAAAGAATGGCAAAAAAAGATTCTAAAGATCTGAAAAGCAACTGTTTAGCTAAAGAGGTATTTAAAGCTGATTTGGCTAATATTCTGAGTCATCACAGCTGTCATAGAGACAGAAAGCTGCTGAACCCCATGAGCACATTGAAAGCTACCACCTTCATTGTCAAGTGTCTTGGCACAGACAATGCCTTCAGAATGCAGTTGCTGCTCTGAATGTTCAGACCACAATACAGGCAATTGGCAATTCTCTTTTTTTCAGAAGCTAGTAAAGACAGTACATTCTTATCTCACTGATACTTTGTTGATTAACACGTTTGTAAGACCTGAGCAACCATTGTCCTTCATCCAATAAAAACGCAGCCAATCTCTTATTTTATACAACAATGAATTAACGAGCATGTTATTTCAAAGTGAAAGAAACTGTTACCAATTAGTCAGAGTTTTATTCCAAACGTATTAAATTCTAGATATGCCAGGTTTTCAGCATTCAAAACATCTAGTTTTCTCATTATTTATTCAATAGCCAGACAGGTGATATTTAAATCGCTGCTGGTTTATTTACTCATGTCCATTTAAGATGGCTTAGTGACAGGAGTAAAGGTAAGGAAAGGTCCACACGACTGAAATATAGGCTCAATTCTGGATCCTTTAAAAATGATATCCAAGCTTCCACAGATGGCACTAAATTTTAGATAAGACCTCGTGACATGAAATCTAAATGGTATGGAGGTCAAAGTAATTTATCACTGGGGGCATTTATCACCAAATACAACAGGGATATGCAGAATGAAAATCTAACTTACTATTCATGACTTGTATCTAGAGTCTAGGATTACAGCCAACCTTTGGATCAAACAAAGAATTTTAAGGTTGATCTTAAAGCCAATAAGAGAAGATTTAACTGTCTGTATTTGTCATCCAGAATCAGATGTTGAACTAGTAATGTGAAAATCTTTTTAGTGCTTTTTTTTTTCTTAAGGTCCTAGAGAAAGCTTGCAATTGTTGAACTCCTATTAGGAAAAAAAAAGAGACTTGGCAACTCACCAGTACAATACAGTTTACTTGCACAATATTATTTCAAAGGCAATCCACAACGCTAGCAACAAGGGATAAATGAAACCACACACACCACCTACATTTAATTTCTGAACAACAGGAATTCTCCAAGGTCTACCTTTTAAACTGAATATGCTTATTATAAATAAAAAGTATACGAGCTAAAAATTAAGTCAGAAATTTTAACACAGTAATCATGCTTATGTAAATATTCATACAATATAGAAATGAAAATGCTTCAATCATACATGGGAATAACACCACAGACACACATTTCCACTGAAATTATTGGATTTACTGACCTATGAAGCTATTTACACATGCCTGTTTGCATCTTGATTTCTTAATGACCTGTGGCTGCAAATACTTTCAGGAAATCCTGAAGACTCAAGCTGACCTTCAAAATTCAATTCAATTGAAATTTAATACTGACTATCAATAGGTTTATACTAAGTGATAAAATGAAGTTTTAAACTAGTTTTAAAATATAGTAATACCTTTTTGAAGTTTTCTACGCTGTTCCATCTTTTAGCAGTCTTTAGCAATTAAGTTAAGTTTAAATAAACTTCAATGTCTGAAAACACCAGGAACATCAACCATGGAGTTTTACCTTTTTTTTTCTCCCCAGAGAACTCAGTGAAGCATAAATACACATAAACGCTCATTAAGAAAACTGATGTTCCTATTTATTCTATTTACATTTCTATTTACAAATGACAATGACTATCAGCTAACATTACAACAACATTTACTATCCCTGGAATTAGAGACATAACTCCGTACTTGAGCATTAAAAAATGTATATCTTCTGGCAGTAATTTTTCTTTTCATTTATTAGAATAGGAGGAGGAGATGAAAGCAGATGGGTAATGGTGCTTAATGTTCACTTAACTATATCTTTTCTTATTTATTTTTTTCACCACAACTGAAAACGGTAAAAATTGTCCTGTTTTCTGGTGAAAAAATGCTCAGAGACTTCTCCCATTTTCTTTGAAACACTGTTATTTTTTAAGGACTCAAGGACAGATTCTGTGGAACATCAAGAAAATATAATGCCATTTTAAAGGATAATGGAGAGACCACCTTTAAATCAGTAATTTTTTCATGCACTGGAAAAAAATCAAACCCTGTCACTTGCTTTGTCACTAATTCTTTTTACACTATAACATTTAGCATTTAAATCATTTGAGAAGCACTAGAATCTCATGCTAACATTCTGCCTTTGTGGGAAAAATAAGTTGTGATAGTATACTGCCTTCTAACTCACATGTCCAAACAAGAATTGCAAGGTATCTCTCTTCCCCTTCTGCTTCCCTTTCTCCTCTTCCCTTCCCCCCTCTCCTTTCCCCTTCTCTATCCCTTCCCTTCTCTTTACTACCCCATTCCCTCTTCCCACTTCCTCAGTCCCTTCTTTCCCTTTCCCTTTTCCCTTCCCTTCCCCCTTCCTTTCCCTTCCCTTCCTCTCAGTTCCCCTCTCATTCCCGTTCCCTACCATTCCTCCTTCTACTCCCTAGAGTTCTTTCCTTGTTTGTTGGGGTTACATATCTCACTATTGGCCAATACATACCTTTCTATATTTCGTCACCAATGCACAGCATGAATGGTAACAAAGTGAAAGGAGGATATAGAAACTTTCATGGTGATGGAAACACTTGGTCATTGGCTTAAGAAGAAGAGACTTACAGAGATGAATGTTCATTTCTTATCAAACAACACTGAGCCTCACTAGAAGTCCTGAGGAAGCGTCTTGGACTTTTATAGGAAACTCATATATTTCACAACCATTTCAAAAATGATGGCAGAGACACTAGGACAAAACTTGTTTAAGAACAAGTTCACTGCAAATATGTATTCCTATTTTATCCAGACTGCTATCAAAAAGTGCTTCACCAAGCATAAAAACGAACTGCATTTACCAACAAGACTTTATAGAAGTAGTACCTCAAAAATTCACTTTTCCTGTCAAACATCAGCACACTAATTATGGGAACACTTTTCGTCTTTTAATAAATTACAGGCTTCATTACACTGAAGAGTACAGATCAATTATTAAATCATGAGTGACAATGTGAGTCATCAGAAATGCAAAGAGCTCTCACTCTAACATGTCAAAGAAGCTATAAAGCTCATATCATTTGTATCAGACACCACATGTTGCAAAGGAGCTTGCAGAATACAAAATACATAACATGTACAGTCAATTATTAGGAATTAGTTTGTGTGCTAAATGAGTAA